AACAATATGGCAGACCCTGATTAAAATTTTCAGCACAAGGATGAAGGAGAATGAGAAGGAAAGTGTGGAGTGCGGAGGATGATGAGCCAGGTTGATAAGGCATATACTTCCTATGGCAGGTGAGCCCAGGAAGTCATCACCGCCACTGCTGATGAGTGGGGTAGCCCTAAAACAGAGGTGTTGAGAATCCTGTGTTGAAGAGGATTACCCCTTGCAAAAGCCACTTAAAAGGATGCAAAACTGTGGTATATCGAAATAACTGAGGCCTCAAAGTGGAGTAAAGTGGAAAAAATGGCGCCATTAAGTGTTTGTGAAGGTGTGGTTATAGAAATATTGTATAGGTGATACAACCAAAGGTATAAAATCCATTATCGTTCAACATTAAATTTGTAAGGAGGACTGCACTTGTTAATTTGGTTAGTCGTTGTTCGGTGTAATTGATTGAGCTGCTTATTTACAGTGCCGTCGATTCGTTTTCGAGTGTAACCAAGTATTTTCCTAATTATTAGTAAACATGTGACTGCAGTAGCGGATAACGAAGTACTAGGAACGTTCTTCGGAGTCTCTTTGTAAACTCGGCTTAGCTACTAAAGTATACTACGACCAGGCCTATCTTCTATGTTGTAGGTAGTCGTTTTCTTTGCATTTAAATAAAGTTCACAAATAGTCACTTTTTATATGATACAGTTTAATTTAATTTTCAGTAATATCTTTCCTCATGTTTATTCTTTCCTTATTTGTCATCCTATTTAAGCTGAATCCACTTCCGGGCCACGATGCCAATTTAGTAGATTCATCTTGCCACGAATTATCTACCCCTTCGCAGCCAAATAATCACGGTGCCGAATCTGACCCGGTTTCCACTTCTCTTCAGTCTACCTGCTCACTACCATTTTCTCATCCCGAGATGGAAACTATATCCACACCTTTAGGACAAGCTGCTGGTCACCAAAATAGTTGGCTGGCTGAAGCCAATCAACTGAATTCATATGCATCAATTGTATCAAACGACGATTTTGTCATTGAATCAGAACGCTTCGTGGCAGCCGAAGATTTTGAGCGAGATGACCAAGAGATGGATCTGGAAGTTGATGGAGGTGACAATGAGGATGATTTGGATGAGGATGATGAAGTGTATGATGTAAGTCTCCTTCACTTTCTTCTATCTATAATCCTCAGTCATAGAATCATGAGTATATTTTTACCTTCAGTAACTAATTCGAAGACAGAAGAATCTTCTGAAAAATCAAACCCTGTATAAGTGTTTTAACTTCGTTTTCACAACTTGTTCAAATTGTCAAAGACCTTTATCAGCTCATGTCTGGGGCCCTCCTCCATATTATTTATAATGAGTTCAAGTATTAGACCACAGACTTGATACATTCTTAGACGTTTCATAAGTATAGTATTTGACATCGTCAACAATCCTTGTTGTTTTGCTACCAAACCACAACTACCCAAAGTTAGCCTATCTCCTGACCATTTTTGTCCTAAATAGTTATGGTAATTATAATATCCTGGTTTATTCACCTATCTGATCCTCAAATCGCCCTCATCATAATCAATACTTCTAAATCCTGAAAATTGCCCTTCGAGTGGATTTAGTGCTGCCTATTTACACTTCCTGCTGGTTATCTCCTCGGTATTCTGGAAATGTTGATATGATTTGA